TTAAAATAACCCAGTGGGCTTTAAAAAATTGTTGCCTGGCCATTGTCCAGGCCACATCCTAAACCAATTAAGTCAGACTCTTTGGAAATAAGAGTCTAGGCAACAGGAACAGTAAAGTTCCCAGGTAATTTCTAAGTGCAGCCGTTTGAGAACTGTTGGTAAAGAGCAACATTTTTCAAACTTTAATAGACACACGACACAGCAGCCGGGGGGCTTGCTAATATGCTGATTCTGAATCAGTAAGTCTGTGTGAGGCCTGAGATGCTGTGCTTCTTTCTTTTAATTCTTTAAAATATATTAATTTACTTTTGTTAACTTTTAGGCTCAAGGGCACATGTGCAGGTTTGTTATGTAGGTGAATTGCATGTCCTGGGGACTTCGTGTGCAGATTATTTTGTCACCCACATAACAAGCACAATACATGATAGGTAGTTTTTTTTTCCTCTTCCTCCTCCCACCCTTCACCCTCATGCAGGCCCCAATGTCTGTTATTCTTTTCTTTGTGACTATGTGTTCTTTTTTTTGAGACAGAGTCTCACTCTGTCGCCAGGTTGGAGTGCAGTGGCACGACCTTGGCTTGCTGCAAACTCCGCTTCCTGGGTTCAAGCAATTCTCCTGCCTCAGCCTCCCAAGTAGCTAGGATTACAGGCACGTGTCACCATGCCCAGCTAATTTTTATATTTTCAGTAGAGACAGGGTTTCACTATGTTGGCCAGGATGGTCTCATTCTCTTGACCTCATGATCCACCTGCCTTGGCCTCCTGGGATTACAGGCGTGAGCCACCACACCTGGCCCATGTGTTCTTAATGTTTAGCTCACACTTATAAGTGAGAATATGCAGTATTTGGTTTTCTGTTTCTGCATTAGTTTGATTAGGATAATAGCCTCCCACTCCATCCATGTTGCTGCAAAGAATATTATCTTGTTCTTTTTTATGACTGTGTAGTATTCCGTGGTGTATATGTACCATATTTTCTTTATCCAGTCTACTATTGATGAGCATTTAGATTGATCCATGTCTTTGATATTGTGAATAGTGCTGCAATGAACATACACATGCAAGTGTCTTTTTGGTAGAATAATTTATATTCCTTTGGGTATATACCCAGGAATGGGATTACTGGCTCAAATGATAATTCTGTTTTATGTTCTTTGAGAAACTGCCACATTGCTTTCCACAATGCCTGAACTAATTTCCATCTCCACCTGCAGTATGTAAGCCTTCCCTTTTCTCTGCAGTCTCATCAGGAGATGCTGCACTTCCAACAAACTCCCAGTGAGGCTACTGCTGCTGATCCAGGCCCCTCACTTTGAGTAGTGAGAGCATAAAGAAGGGACAATAAGCCAGGCACAGTGGATCACGCCTGTAATCGCAGCACTTTGGGAGGCTGCGGCAGGAGGATCTCTTGAGCCCAGTTCAAGACCAGCCTGGGCAACATGGCAAGTCCCCATCTCTACAAAACAGCGTTTTACAAATTAGCTGGGTGAGGTGGTGCATGCCTGTGGTCCCACCTACTTGGGAGGCTGAGGTGGGAGGATCACTTGAGCCCAGGAAGTCGAGGCTGCAACGAACCATGATCAAGCCATTGCACTCCAGCTTAGGTGAGAGAGTGAGAAGCTGTTTCAAAAAAAAAAAAAAAAGAGAGAGAGAGAGAGACAGAGAATGAGAGACTAGAACTTCTTAAAGTGAGGAAATCTTTGATTATTTGCTCTAGCATTTCCTAGCTGTGAGCTGATTAACCAACCTAGTTTTCTGAGGCTCTCCTGGTTATGGCACTGAACGTTCTGTGTCCTGGTCAAATTGGGATATTGGTCACCCTATGTGTGATCTTACTAAATCAGATAAAGCCTCAGAGCCTGCTGAAGTTTTCATAAGAATGAAATAAAGTATGTTCAGATGTCTAATGTAGTACCTAGCACAGAGCAGGAATCCAAAAATACTTGATAGTTGATTTTCAAGATAATAGTTTGCAGTTAAAGTCACAGTGAGTTACCATTTCACACTCACCAGATGGCTAATGTGAAAAAGACTGAAAATGCCAAAGTTGTCGAGGATGTGAAGTAAGTGGAACTTTCATGGAAAAATTGGTACAACCACTTACAAATACTGTTTGGCAGTAGCTTCTCACCCCATGCATCTCCTATGACCCAGCAATTTCCATCCTAAGTATAAACCTAAGAGGAATAAATATTTGTTTTCCAAGCATATGTATAGAAGCTTTATTTATAATGGTAAAAAATTAGAAACAACTCAAAAATCCATTAGTAAATTGGACATCGAAATCGTAGTATATTCATAAAGTGGAATATAGAAATAAAAATAAACTATTGCTACAGACAACAACATAGATGAATTTCACAAACATAATAGTGAACGAAAGAAGTCAGATACAAAAGATACACAATAGAATTTCATTTATATAGAGTTTTTTGTTTTGTGTGTGTGTGTGTGTGTGTGTGTGTGTAACAGAGTCTTGCTCTATCGCCTAGGCTAGAGTGCAATAGCATGATCTCGGCTCACTGCAACCTCTGACTCCTGGGTTCAAGCTATTCTCCTGCCTCAGCCTCCTGAGTAGCTGGGATTACAGGCATGCACCACCACGCCTGGCTAATTTTTGTATTTTTAATACAGACAAGGTTTCACCATGTTGGTGAGGCTGGTCTCAAACTCTTGACCTTGTGATCTGCCCACCTCGGCCTCCCAAGGTGCTGGGATTGCAGGCGTAAGCCACTGCGCCAGGCCTATATAGAATTTTAAAGACTTAGCCCCACCTACTCTTTGGTATTAGAAGTCCAAAAAGTGGTTTCCATTGGAGAGCATCAGACATGCAATGTTCTCTTTGATCCAGGCATTGATTACACCAGGATGTTCACTTTGTGGAAATTCATCTACCTGTACAATGTATTTGTGCACAGTTCTATATAAACGGTGTACTTTAATAAAAAGCTTTTTAAAAAGATCAAAAGGTATAAAAACAAACATAGGAAATTATTAGTCTCAGAGAGAATACTAACTGAAAGCTTCAATGGATCCCAAAATGTTTTAGACAATTCACAAATGAGATTTCTTAATGGCTTCTAAGAGACTGGGGATACTAAACACTTGAATAGGCATCCTTCTCCTTTGAGTGGTCTCCAGGGATCTCCCATCCCTACAGCACACTGAACTACCTACAGGTCTAACTAGTGTTACAGTCACTGTGTCCTACGCTTCTAGGTAGGTGTTTAATAGAGGGAAACTTATCTCTTCATCTCTGCAAGGAAAACCCAAACCTTACTAAGGCAGCATGAAGTTTCTACACGATTACATTAAATTACCTAAAAGAACTTGTAATATAATTCACCTTCCACCTGGCCCCACCCCTCTGAAACACAGTCCATCCACCCCTGAGAATCACCATAGACGCTCATCATCTACTTGTTGGGACTTATTTTTTAGGCTCCACCTGCCAGTTCTTAGAATTTCTGATGCCAGTGGTGTTCCCGACAGATGTTTTGCTTGAACAGAGCAGACCTCTTCCAAGGAGTCATTTACAATAGCAAGTGCAAATGAAATGTCAAGAATTTGCAAATCTCTTGGTCTTGTCACTTTGGTGGAAAAGAAGATGTGCCACAGGAGCATCTCAGGTGCATCTTCTTTTCAGGGAGGAACCAAACAGCACACCGGTAGCGTTTGCTCTGGGTGTATTTCACAGTAAGCTTTACAACACACTTGCTTTTTTAACAGGTGAATGGATATGTCATCATCATCAGCAGCAGCAGCATCATCATTATCAGGAGTTATTCTATTTTTTGACACAGCAGTGTCCTTGCATAAAATAAGCCATATCAGATAAACCCTCCTCCCATGTCCCTCAGAGTCAAATTCAAAGTCTTCATGGAGTTCCCAGATTCTTCCTGATCTGGCCTTGTCTTATCTTGCTGATGTAACCTCTAGCCTTCCAGCCACACTGGTCCCTTGCTGCTCCTGGGACTCTGTACGTGTGTCCCTTCGGACTTGGCACTGCCTAGCCCCTCTGCTTGGAACACTCTCCCCCACATATCCTATTGTCTAATTCTGCAAATCGTTGCTTTAATGTCACCAGTTTAATGAGTCGTACCCTGACTACCCTGTCCTTTCTTACTGCCTCTACTTTAATCCCCTCTACACTGACTTACTTATTTTTCCACACTGTTTTCACTTAACATACCATATGTTTTCTTATTTTGTTTATTTTTTATTATTTGTCTTTCTGCACTAGAATGTTAACTCCACAAAGTCAAGAGATTTTATTGTTATCGTTCTGTTTGGTTCACCAACGTGTTCCAAGTACTTAACACATAATTGGCATGTAGTAGGTGCTCAATAAATATCTGTTGAATGTTAAATGCCTAAAATTTGGGGGCTTAGCATGTACTGTTAGCATGTTGTGTGCTTTATATGTATACATATAATACTTAGCAAACCATGAGAAGAGTAATATTATTAATCACATTTACACATGAAGAAACTGAAGCAGAGAGAGGTGGGTTAACTAGCCAACGGTCATACAGCTAGTAAACAATGGAGCCGGGACTCAAACTGAAGTCATCAGATCTTAGAACACTAGATCTTGACCACAGCAACTCAACTGACAGAAGCAACGCCAAGAAGAGGTTATACACTCAGCAGGCAAGTTTTGCCTGTGGTAGACATCAACTTGTCATTTCTGCATTTATTCTTTTCCTGGTAATTGCACCCCCATTTCCCTCTACGAAGTGATTTCTTCTTCCATTTTCCATCTCTGGGCTTCTGGTACACTGGACTCTATTTCCTGAGTGGGAAGAGAAGCATGTGATGGGAGAAAGCCAATCAGCATGTGGCATTCCACAAGCCTTGGAGATTGGCTGAGAAGTAAGCATGTGACCTGATCAGAGTTGAGAATGCTGGGGCAAGAAGGTTTCACTTCTCCTGCAGGTTTCACTTCCTGGGAAGCTGGAAAACTGTATGCATCATCTTGGGAGCCTGCTGGGGTGAGTCAGCTTTTGAATAGAGCCAACACCAAGGAAGTAGAACCAATAAATGGTATGACTGGCCCCGGGTCCTGCCCACTGGGCTTGTCTGAGGCCTCGAGGTGCTGTCTGTATTCCAGCATCCTCTGCTGGTAATGGCTTCCCTCTGTGGTTGTGAGAACGTGCCCCCTTCCTTTGGTTTACTTCATTTGTTTTGTCTTCCTTCTTCCTTCCTTTCTTTTTTTTTTCTCCTCTCACTTCCTTTCTTTTTCTCTTCCTTCTTTTTTTCTCCTCTTTCTACTCTTTTCCTTTCTCCTTTCTCCTTCCTTACTTTCTTCCTTTTTCTTTCTTTCTTTTCTTCTCTCCTAACACTGAGTAATTAGTATGTGCCAGAAATTATGCTACATTTAAGTACATTGTCCCATTTTATTTTTACAACAAACAACCATATTATATAAGAACGTTTAATATTCCCATTTTAGAGGTAAAGACACAGGCTGGCAAATTTGCACAAGATCACCCAAATGGTAAGTGATAGAGTCAGGTTTCGGAGCCAGGCAGTCTAACTCCTGTCCATGCACTCTTAATCACTAGATTACACAGCCTCGTTTGTGAAGCACAGGGTTATATGGAGGCCAGACCAGAGTTTATAAGGAAGAAAGGGTGGCTACAAAGTCAGCCATATGTGCACGCAGGTAACTGTGGAAAGAAGAGACTAGTGTAGTGATTCAAAAGAAAGCTTTGTATTTAGGCCAGTCCTGGTCTGAATTCTGCTTCTTCCATCTACTCACTGTGTGAACATGGCACATTAATTAACTTCTCTGAGCTCCTGAATTCTCATCTTTACAGTGAAGCCAATACTACCAGTCTTGAAATGATGTTGCCTGATTTAACTGAGAAAATGAATACAGAGTATTCCCCAACTATTTGGTACATAGGTGAAAGCTACTATGATAATAACATTATATATGGTTACTGTTAATATTCTTCTTATTATAGTCACCCTTAGAATTCTCAGTCCCAACAGCAGGAGTCCTGAAGACAGCAAGGTATGTTTTCTCCCTTGTGATTTTAGCCAACAGTTGGCACCTATCTTCACCCTTGGAACTGAAGACGATTTATATGCAGCTAAAAAAAAAAAAAATCCATTTAATCTGTGCTGAATTTTGTCACCCTTAGGAGTTAAAACATATGATGTGCAGCCTTCAGGGTGTGACTGTGTTTAAAGAGATGTTCTCAGAAATACGCACGTGTCCCAGTGAGGGGTGAATGCGTCTGAGTTCCTCCCTAGGTGATGTCAAGCAAACAGTTCTTTGAGAATTAGGCAATCTGGCTACTAAACCATTGGTATTGTGCCACGAGGCATAAACCTTCCCAAGCAGGAGGGTATTGTACAAATAGGAATCATCTCCCAGATCTCAGATTAATGCAGCTGTGGAAAATAGCATTTTAATAAATGTATTCTCCAAATGGAGGCACTTTTATTGCAAAACGTTCCTTTTGTATCCTGAGAGAAATGGAATGTTTTGGTTAGGCATAAACAACAGTGAGAGCATTTTCTAAATACACATGTTTTCTGCATGTCAGTTTAATTACATGTTGTAGATCATTTTTGAGACTCCTTGGGGATAATAGCTTCAAAAGCAATGCTTCTCTCTGTCTTGAGCGACCAGAAGTCACGATACCTGTTTTACATTTGGCGGTTTACAGTCCCTCTCCTTCCTTCTCCATTCCTATAACTGTTCAGTTATATTTACGTTTACGAAAGCGCATGACGTTTAGGTGTCAGCGCTGACCGGAAGATTATTTGAAGTTAAACCACTTTGCCAGCTTCCATTTTCTTCACAACATTCCTTTCCACTTCTGCTTTTTCTTTAAAAGAAAAAATTCTGACTTAAGAAAACTTGATCCTTTTGGAACAGACCAGCCACAGCTACTCCTTCCTGTGCTCCTAGACAGGAGGAGTGAGGCGAGAGGGCCGAGAAGTTTGGGAGGTGAGGGGGAATGCTAAGGGAGGGCAGGGGCAAATGGGGCCTTCTCCGCAGGGGACATTCAATAACTCTCTTAGCCTTTATGCTGTAGGACAGGGTCTCATTTGCTCGATTTGGGGTGACAGCAACCGGTTTTGTTACAGCATAGCTGGAGTTTTAAATAAGTGCAGCTCTCAGAGGCCAAAAGCGGCATTCGTTATCTTAGCCATGGGAAGACATGGAAATCAGCGGTGTTTTTGGCAAGGGCAGCATAAATCCACTGTTTGCAAGGCCCCGACCCAGCCAGAGAGGAAGGAATGCACAGTTTCCCTTTGACGGTGAGATTTCCTGCTTCTTGTTGGAAAGAGTGTCTGGACTCCGATGCACAAGCAAAGTCTGCATCCATTACTTGAAAGGAAACCAACCCTATTCCTGAAGATTTGGCAGCAGAAACATTCATTGTTGAGAAAGGGGGAAAAAAAAGACTAATGAACTCCCCTCTCTTCGGTATTTTCAAAGGCCTCTTGTGTTAGTGACTGCTATTTTTTTCTTTCTTTCTTTTTTTTTTTTTTTCCAGAGTTCTTAGGAACTCTCATTAGCCCCTCAATAAATGCTACTTTAAGGGCTTGTAACTTTGTCATTAAATCTTCACTCCAAGATGAATTAAGGTTGCAGCCAAGAAATGCCCTCCCCACCCCCAGTGAGCTTCTTTACAATCACCAAAAAGGCAGGAAAATAGATTTGTGGGGGATTTTTAGTACTCGTTTACGTGCCTTCCTGTCAAATAGTGATTAATTCAGGGCCACTTAAGTTTTTCTAACTTTCATCCATAATGGGCACGTTGACATTTTTATTTGAATCTCTTTACGCCATCCAAAATAATCTCCTTCAGCAACAGAAACTGCTGGTTAATTGCCACAGAGCAGCTGTTACCTTTTCTCAGTCGACAGCCTCTTTCAGGACGGTGTTGAGCTCCGTGCCTGTGGAACGCGCGGGCCGGCGACAGCGTGTCAGGTGGATTGATTGAATGGCCCCCTTGTTCCCGACTAGCTGTGTCTACGATGGTATCAGGGCCAAACAAAGCCCTGCACATCTAAATATAGCATTTTCTTTGGCCCCCGGCCCTCACTGTCTTGTTTTCCCATTCTTCCATGCTCTAAAGCAAATACCAGAGAGCCACATTTTAACACGTCTTACTTTTACACGTCTTGCTTGCATATTCCACGGGTCAAACTGGTCCCAGAAATAGAAGTTCATGCACAATTAATCTGATTTTCTGGTTAATTGAGGCTTACCAGAAAACTGCTTTGAAAAATTCACTGTTGTTACAAAGTCTTCTGAAAAACGTGTTCAGACACTCTCAGGATGGCAGAGTCTTGCAACTAAAAGAGAATTTGAGATCTAGGTGCACAAAGGGCAGTGTCTGTGGATCTAGCCAAGATACCTGAACTTTCTGCCTTCTGCACAACCCATTTTATTTTTGAACCATTTTTGTTCCAGGGTATTACTTTATATTTCCTGCCTTGATTATTAATGAAGTGAATGGTTTTGTTGTTGTTGTTTCTTAACTTGTTTTCTTGATGACAGGGCTTCGGGAAACCCTGTTGACTATTGTCCTGTCCAAGTAGAGACCCTGAAGATCGGTAAGATGGAGTGAATTTTCAGGGTCTGTGAAACATCTGTGGCCACCATAGACTCTGAGCCTCTTTTCTTATTATCTGTTCCTTACCAAGGTGAGTGAATGAAACCATTAGATGAGCTCCTAGTAATCAAATTTTTGCTTTATTGCTCTCTACAGGTAGTCCTTACAGGTTGTTGGCATACTTGTAGTGAAAGAAAGAAAGAAAGGAAGAAAGAAAGAAAGAGAAAGAGAGAGGGGGGGAGGGAGGGAGGGAAGGAAAGAAGGAAGGAAGGAAGGAAGAAAGGAGAGAGACAGAGAGAGAGAAAGAGAAAGAAAGAGAAAGAAAGAAAAAGAAAAGAAAGAAAGAAAGAGAAAGAAAGAAAGAAAGAAAGAAAGAAAGAAAGAAAGAAAGAAAGAAAGAAAGAAAGAAAGGAAGGAAGGAAGGAAGGAAGGAAGGAAGGAAGGAAGGAGGGAAGGAAGGAAAAGAGAAAGAAAAGAAAAGGGAAGACTAATTTAAAATAATGTATTATACTTTTCTCTAATTTGTGTTATAAGTTCAAATAATAAAGAAACGTGAAATATAGAAAGAGGAAATTACCTAAAGTGTATCCTATAGGAAAAAATATTTTACAAATTACAAAAAAAGAGTATCTGGTCCATGCCTGTGTGGAGGTGGTACAGCCCTGAATCGGGTGTGGTTGCAGCTCAGGCTTCTACAGTTTTGGCTGTCAAGTCCACCATCTGCTTACTTTGCCTTCAAAGCATTGATAGGAACTCCAATCAGCCTTCTAGCTCCTCTTAAAATCCCAGCTGAGAAAAGTGTTATTCAGGGACGTCTAAGAATCCTGATTGCCATCCACTCTACTAGGCCCCTAGAGCTCTACCTTTGGATCAAGTTGGAGACCAAAAACCTGCGCATTTGTGCTGTATTTAGGCCAAGGTTAGGAGTTATTCAGCACACATGTGGTCCATCATCTGCCCTCTGCCTATGGCAGGCATCTCTAAAATAGTGTAGCCTCTTTTTTGCCCAGCTTAGATGCGGTCTTGAATCCTTCTCAAGACAAGACTCTGTGAGCCCACCACCAGAAAACTGGAGTGGGCACTGGACAGGTGCCCCTTTGCTTCACTTTTTTGCTCTGCCCCTGGCAATTTTGCAACTCTGTTTGCTCTCACAGTTGACAATGAACTTCTGTTCTCATTGTCCCCTTATAAAGAGCCCTGAGTGCAGAATTTATTTGAAAATAAAGCATCTGGAAAATTCTTCTCTCCTTTGAAGAACTGTATACTCTGGTGAAGTGAGGGTTTGTCATTAGTCATCATCCCGTTTTCACTCTTGCTGCCAGGAAGCTGTGAGTCAGATTTCAAAGCTCAATGGTAGCAAAAAAAAAAATGAGCCTTATAATTGCCCTATTTGCAACTTCCTTTTCTCTTGTCCAGAGTTTTTGTTTTTATCATTTGTGGCCTGGGTGGTGAACTGCCTTCTATCAATGAGGCAAAGGTATAAATAAATAAATAAACCAGTTTTAAAACCATGCACCCAATTGTAGTGTCTTATCAACGCAAGCCTCAGTCTGAGAGCACGTTTTGTTTTCCTTCATGCTTACAAACAAATCCATGCCTTTGCATGCTACCTAAGAAGAAGGACTGGCTGCCAGAACAATGTAACTAGAGCTGGAAAGGGGAAATAAAACTGGGTTGATGGACCTGGATATATGAGATCTTTATTTTCTGCCCTGTGAGAATGTTGTTGTGGTTCCATTTTACAGGTAAGTGAGGGCAGATGCAGCTTCCTGGGGCCACCAGAGTGTGACTGGGTGATGTGTCACTCCTGAGCCCTGCCTCCAGTCCGCTTTGGCGTGTAATCTTGTGCAACCTTTTTTATTTCAAAAGTGCTTCTGCACTCCCCGGTCATTCCAATGCTGCTGGTGAGCACACTTCATTTCTACTTTGTTTAGCAATCAGAACCGCCACGACTTTCGAAAAGCATGAAATCTCTAAATGAAGGAACGTAAAGTACTTGGCTTCCAACCCCCCAATATGGAGAAACAATCTGAATACACAAAATTAGAAAAACATACACAGAATGGTTGTTTAAAATTCACAGCTGTCAACATCAAGTATTTTGTGCGAGAGAAAGAATGTAAGAAACATCAGGTTAACAAAATAGCTGCAGACGGATCGCTTCGCGCAGAGGACTAGGCTGGCATTGTCTGCGCCCTGTTTTGCAGAGGCTCATTTGCATTGCAGGACAAAGGTTCGCTGTTGGAGACCCTTTCTCTCCATCCTCCTCCTCCAAAAGGCACCTCGCCATCCGCAGTGAAGATAGACCGCCTCCCTCCTCCCATCAGAAACCTACAGGAACGAACACAAATCTGTTATTTTAACACAACGTGGGCACAAAGTGGTGTTTTCATTCTGAATAAAGCTGGGGGAAGCTGAAGAATAGGGCCTTTTATTTGCAGAAGATACTCAAAGGAAGCAAGATTGAACCGTAGGCCAGCGTATGAGAATAAAGTTGTTAGAGATTTTGCAGCCTGTGGCCTGGGAGCTCCACTAGAAGTTCTCTGTCAGCTTGGAGCACTTTGCATCAGAATGCATAATTGCATCTGTTAATTACATTTTTAGCCTAGTCCTCCAACATAGAATAAATTCATTTTCCTCCCATTTTTCAGACTGCCTGGGAGAGAAGACTTTTTTTTTTTTCAATTTAATAAACATGATTGACAACAGAAAATGCAGATTTACTTTCTTTCTCTTATGACTGTGTATTGGTATCCAGAACGCAGACATGTATTTTTCTAATGATTATACAGCAGCCCCTTAACAATTGCATTCATTCCGCAAATTCTAAGAGCCCTGTTTTATGATTCTTGTAAGAAGTAGCTGGAAAGTGGCACAAAGAAATGTTTAAAAATACGCAGAGGCTAAGGACATTTTAAGCAGTGTATCTAAAGTGGCAGAGATGGCATTTCAATGGTAAAGGCCAGCCGCTGAGACCAGTACTGTTGAACTCGGGGCCTCCAGTCCCTGGACCGTATTAAGGGGGTTGAGCTGGAAGTGGCTCAATCTTTTGCCAGTACCTTTGAACCAGGAACCCTTGAGTTTCCAATCTGCTATTGCCCCACCAGACAGTTGTCTCTGACTCTGCCCAACGTCATGGATTGTCAGTGAGACAACTGGGGCGGACACCCTGACTTACCTGGAGAAGAGGTTAGAATAGTGAGAGGGAGGCTGGGGAATCTAGCCCCTCTCTTCCTTCCCTCTCCCTCTCTTTTGCCGGCCCCAGAAAAACATGGGTGAAAGTCCACCTTCCCTATCTGGGTGGGGGCATAGCACAGGAAAGATGACTTTAAAGCTGAGAGACTAGGAGGACAATGTGATTTCTGAGGCCATGGCATGAGGCGCCATGAGTCTGGGGGTGGTGGCTGTCCAGTCCTGCTCCGGACGGTGGTCCCATGACGTAACTGAGGTCCTTGACACCAGCTCTTTAAATCAGGGGCTGCTTTAGGAGCTCCCTGCTACCATGGTTTCTAATGGCCTTAATCCCAGGCCTGAGGGGCACGTTAAATAATTTTTCTTTTTTAACCACCTAAGAAACTCTCATGTTTGAGTAGAAAAGAGAGAAAAAAAAGCAAATCTTCCAGAGCATACATAATCTCCTCTTGATCTGGTCTCCTTGGGGCCTCTGACTGGCAAAACTAAGCCTGCAGGATGGTTCTCAGAAGACGAGTGTGAGAATCTCCCCACCTCCGTCTGGGAGAGCACGCTAAGGAGCCCCGTGGCATCTTCAGAGCCCTAAGCTCAGACTCTTCTCTAACAGCTGTAGACACACATATGAGCCTTGATGTCGTATGGTCATATATCTTCCTCCAAATGAGAGGTCAGATGAGATCATCAGGGTGAAAGAGCTTTGTAAACTAGAGAGCACTGGACAAATGTCAGTCTGTTTTCATTATTAACTGGGAGCACGAGCTCTCTCCTGCCAAGGAGCCTATTAAAATATTTTTTTTATCTGAGTTCTTTTTCTTTTTTCAAATTGTTAACAAATATTTACTGAGAGTCTAGCACTGGCCAGGCATTTTACAAACATAAATCAGATCATGTCACTCTCTGGGTTGAAACACTCCGAGGCGCCCCGTCACACCTAGAATAACATGAACAGTCTTCACTGTGGCCTGGAAGGCGGCGTGTGAGGGGGGCCAGCAGCCTCTCCCTCCTCAATTCCTTCCATCTGCCCCCTTTTTCCTCTGCTGTGGCTGAGATGCCCCCCTCGCTGCTCCTCAAACATGTCAAGTTCATTTTCACCTTAGGCCTCTGCCCACGCTGTGGAGTCCTCCTGGAAAACACTCCACTGCACCCAGGTCTCTGTCAAACGTCACTTCTTCAAAGAAATCATCTTTGACCACATCTCTAAAATGTCCTCCTTCCACACTAATACTCTTTGTCCCTACACCCTGCCTTAAGGCTCTTCATAGCCCACATCCTAATCTGAAATGATTAAAGATGTTTGTGTGTGTGTGCCTCTGTGCGTGTGTGTGTGTGTGTGTGTGTGTGTGTGTGTATTGCTGCCTCATCCACTAGAACACATGCTCTGTAAGGCATGTTTTGCCTGTTGCTGCGTGCCCAGACTCTACAATAGCACCTGGCACATAGTAGGTGGTCAGTTAATACTAATGGTACAAATACAAAGCGCTGGGAATGCAGAGATGATAAGAAATCAAGGGGCTTATAGTTCTGTCCTTGATCTGATGGGATTTGGCTCAAAAGGAAAGCAAGAATAATTAATAACTCAATGCTTATGCTTCAGTGGAAAAGACTCAGACACTCAAGTTATTTCATTTTCATAAGAAGGCTTGCCCAAGCTTGAGGATCTGGTTCCTGAGGTCTTCTTTGAGCCAAGACTCTTGGCGTGAGATGTATGAGGACGAAGGTCCACAGATGAGTCAGGTTAAGAGACTGCTGGGGACACACTGGGAGAGCCACCCAGCTCCTAGCAACTCCCTCCATTCTAGATTGGTTCTACCCAGCTCTTTTTCCTGCCTGTGTGTGGATAAAATGAGAACCACATCGTTCTTGCTCCCTGCTATGTTGATTAGTGAGGAGTCACCACCTCACGCTGAGCTGATGATGCTGTCTCAACCCTAGTTTATAAGTAGGCAACAGCTTTCAGCCAGGTCAGTGGGGGACCTCTCCTGGGGATTTTCCAACTGGAACTAGAGGAAAAAACTGTTTTCCAGTCACAAAGCTGTGAGGATGTGAGGCCAGGAACACCCATTAACGGAGGTTCTAGTTCATGGCAACAGCGACGGGATGAACGATGCAGAGACAGGAGTTAGTGACCAAGATGGAGAGACAGAGAATGTCCCGGCTCTGGTTTCACCTCCACTCCCTCCCTGCCTACATCCTAAGCCACTAAATTCCCTCTTTTGCTTACACTAGCTCAAGCTGGTTTTTTATTTCATTAAAAGCACTCTAATGAATATATTTTTCTTTAACTAGTTATTTAATTATTATACAATAAATACATAAATTCAGTTTAAAAATCCACACACTTTAAGAAATTATAAAATGGGAAGTTGCCTTCCTCCTTGCCCACCGACTGCTACTCCCTCCCCCGTCTCAGTCCCACTCCTTGGTTTCATTCCCTGGAGGTAACCCGCAACCACTTGTTAAACTTATTATCCTTCCAACTGTCATTTGACAGACTTCTGGCAAGCATTTTGAAAAGCAGCAGAAAATCCTTTGTAATTTTGATTTATCTGATTGTAATATATATTACTCTTGTAGATTTTCAAACAATGGGTTATTCAACCATTTATTTCAGTCAGCTTTGTCTGCATTAGTAAATGTTTTGACATTAGCCATTTATTTCAGAGATGAATGATTCATTTGGGTATTTCTCAACAACATCAAATAATACCCTGGGTGAGGGCATGGCTGACTTTTTGGCAGGGACTGAGTTATTCATTTTTACATTCCTCATACTGCTCAATGTGCTTCGCACAGAGTAGGCACACAGTATGTGTTGGAATGGATGAAGAATTTGGTGAAAGGGAGCTTGAGACCGAAGGGGGAAGAATGAATCTTTATTGAGTGCTTTCACAACACTGTGGACTTGGCATGCTTTGCCTCTTTCTGTCTTTGCTGCAGCTCCCAGCAGCTCTCATTCTTGTCCCTTCTCCAGCTCGTTCTGAGGTTTTCCATTTCATGATGTGGCTTCCAGGTCTCTCCAATGAATTCATATTCCTTGGGTTTGCCAGACTTGGTTTCTGTTGCTTACAGTTCAAGAACTCTAACTGACAGAGAAATCAGAGCATTAAAAGTAGGGCAAATGGACTACACAGAAAAAAAAATAGATACAACCCTACTTACAATGTGGAAAATGAGGGCAAAAACCCACTAAGTACTTGCTTTAGGGCACATGGTTAAGGAGTGGCCAAACAGGAATTAACTCAAGTCTATCAGGGTACAAAAGTCTGGCCCTCTCCACCACCCTGCAACCGGGTGCCAAGACTCTGGCCCAGGAACAAATTATGTCTAGAGGCCAAAAAAAGCATGACCCAACTTGCATGGTTCTCACTAAGAACTCAGGCTGCATGTGGTTGGCAGAAGATGGCCTCTTCCAGAAGTCTGTAGGTTTTATCCTTGGAGAATTTTCTAGATCATTGCTGATGCCAAAGAATGTTTTAGACACTTAGGAAAAAAAATAACTGCATGAGAACCCATGAAGCAGAACCTCAAGCACTATTCTCTTATTTGTCTTTCTTATTTTTAAATATTTCACATTAGTCTAATTTCTCTTCTGTTGCCCTGAGCACATAGAAGAAAAAAATCCTTACCATACATAGTGAATACTGATAATGTATTTGTTTTTGGTAAGATTTTTTATTTTACATAATATTGTAGCATGGGCAAAAACAGGGGCTTGGCCTGGGCAACAACACAGTGAGACTCCATCTCTACACAAAATGTTTTTAAAATTAGCTGGGCATGATAACATACCTCTGTGGTCCCAGGTACTTGGGAAGCTGAGGTGGGAGGATTGCTTGAGCCCAGGAGTTCGAGGCTGCAGTAAGCTGTGATTGTACCACTGCACTCCAGCCTGGGTGACAGAGTGAGACCCAGTCTCTAAGTAATACATAAATAAAATAATAATACTAGTATTAGTAAAAGGAGGGACTTTAGAGCCAGATTTCTGAGATTTGAACTCCAGCTCTGTCACTTGCCGTGTGACCTTGTTGTATGTGATAAGTTCCTTCCCGACTCTGCCCCGTTTTCTTGTCTGTAAAATGAGTAAAATAAAACCTGCCTCCTGGGATAGTTGCAAGGATTAAAAAGTTACCATAGGTAACACACTTAAAATAGGGTCTGGCACCTAATGGGTGCTGAACATAGTTGCTATTAGTATTATTCCTGCACTTACTATTTTAGTTGTTTTAAAAGTACTCTTTGGGAACCCTGAGCAGATGAAATGAGTTTTGAATTTTGCAGGTACAAGTGTGTGAATTTTGCAGTTCAGAGCAGTGGCTCAGAGACTGGGATTAAGGCGTAGGTCTTAAAGTAACAAATGGCTGGTAGCAATAGGAGTATAAATAGAACCCCGCTTCATGGATATTCTAATTATTCTTTCCTCTTTGACATGATTCCGTGTTTAGCTGCATAGCATTAAGCAATACTTACGCAGTTCAGGAAAGGGCAATTGAGAAAGATCAGATCCAATGATCTTAAAGCCCT